CCCCCCCGCACCGCGATCAGCAGCGTAATTGCCTTGGGCGCCCGAAAACCTGTCACGGTGCGAATTTTTTTTTTTTCCGGAATGGACCGAAAACTAAGGGCGCACATGATGGTCTCCTCCTTCGGCAACTGTCAACCACATATTCTAAAATGGCCGAAACCATACTCTTCATCTCGCACCGACCCACCTCCAGCCCTCCAATAAACCATGACCCCCCCTTTGACGCGACTGGTTTCGCGCCCACAAGAGATCGCCGTCTATCATTGCCTTTTATGGACACCTCCAATCCATCTCATTTGCCCACAAATAGAAATCCACAGTTGAGCGACGTGTGCTTCTGAGCGACGAAGGAAGCCAACCAGCATGCCATTATGTGCACACAACACCCTACATACACACCACCATAACCCGAACCCTTCTCTCCTCTCTCATTACCATCACGGACCCCAAAACTCAGGCCCACCACCTCCCCCGGGTTTCCGGGACGACCCACTTCCCCTTGTGTCATCAAACAAACCCCATAACCGCTGGTGTACAAACACCACCAGTTCCTTTTAGGTTCCGCAGGGAGGGAAGCGGGGTCAGGTGGGGTGGGGTGGAAGGTGCAGCAGTGATAAGGTAACACCGTTCCCTTTCCATCGGAATGTTGACATGTCCCGCGGAGCTCGCCTGCACTGGGGAAGTGCGAACTTAGTACGATATCGTTCTGACGCTCGAGACAATATAATCATAAAAACGTTCTGACGCTCGAGGCAATATAATCATTAAAAAAGAAAAAAATGCTCACAGCAGGGGTCGAACCTGCGACCTTGGCGTTATTAGCACCACGCTCTAACCAACTGAGCTATGCGAGCTCATGTTTCATCCATAAAACTACTCTTTATTAAACTACTTAATTTTTGTGCTCAGTATTTATATCTTATCTACTCTAGCATTGAAGCTATGATAATCATTTATATAATATTTATAATATTGGAAGTCAAATGTTAAATATATAGTAAAGTATAAAAAAAAAAAAAAAATAGTACAAAAGTATAATATTAAGTAATAATATTAATAGAAGCTGATATTATTTTAGAATGATAACCTGAAGGGTTGTATACAAAATCCATGATAGTACTACTATGAATATGATGAGTATATTAAGAAACACTATTACAAACAAGTTTGGCACTGAAGTTTAGAAGAATAATTTTAATAATCTTCCAATAATCATGCCCGCTGGAAACTTGATACACCGATGGACCCCACCACCCAGCTAGCGTGATTTTGTGTCGTGTGAGCGGCTTCTTGGCGACCTTAACATGGAAGGCACACCTGGCTGGAAGGCACTCCTGGCTGAGTCATCGCCATGGCTAAGACTCGCCAACTCGCGGCAAGACCTGTTTACTCGCGTTTACTCGCGGGCAGGGACTTCAGTTGTGATTTGACATCCTGATGAATGAATCGAATTGAGGTCCAATTCGATTTGAAAAATTTGAAATGATTTTTAAAATTCAATTGCTCGACCAAAACATACGATTTTTAGCTTGTTGGATTCAACTTATATAGACGAATCCAGCATAAAAAAATTCATTAAATTTGGATATGTTTCCATCGAGAAATCATATTTCAAAGTTTGAAAAAAAAAAAAAATGAACCGAATCGGATCCCAATTTGATTCGAATCATAATCAGACCTCAATTCGATTCAAATCAACCCCGATTCGATTCGATTCGAATTGGTTCGTTTGGGGGGCACTACTGATGATAAGCCAGTTTTCTTTGTGCTGCCACCTGAAATCTGAAAAATAAAAACCAGTGTTCTGATGATCGTGTCCGACACCGAAAACGCCTGCCGTTCGAGACCTTGACAACCGACACTCCAGCGACCATGTCCAATACCAAAACCGCACCCGAAGCTGTCACGGTCGAACGTTGAGAAGGTAAGATTGGAGAGAATTTTCTTGGTAAGAATGTTGCATTTTTTCTGATGTTGATCATGCTCACATACTTTACCAAAAATAGATCCGGACTTACGGTGGCCGGTCTCTATGCCAAATTTCTACAGAATGCGCTGCATCTCTTCGCTCGACGAGGATATTGACAATTCAAACAAGACGAGGTCCACAAGCTGCTATTCTTCTATGACCAACTCGACGCGCATGCTTTTGGCGACCACCAGAACAAATGAGTCCTCATTGACAAAGAAACGATGGTCAGAATTGGCGACGAAAGAGAGGGTGAGCTTGAAAAGAAAATTTTACACGCCAGCAGATCAAAGTCACCTCCCCAAGTCGAAGGATGGTCGGGTGTATTCACAATATTGATGCTAGAAGATGTCTAGTTAGATTGTTTGTTTGTGCGATGTTGTTAATAACTTGCTTTTCTTTCGAGACGAATTTATGATCTTTCGCGACGCACACCTACCGTAGCCATCCATACATGGGCGGATGACCTCATATGGCAAGTGACTCCAGGCGATGATATGAGGTAATTCGGTAAATGAGTGACCATCAACAACCTCCACGTTTGGGTGGATGCGACCGATATAGTCACTTACTCATCGATCGTCGCCGACAGATCACTCGACCAGAATTGGGCGTTCGTGGAATTGAGCTCTGACTTATTACACGGATATACGGTGCACACTATGCAATTATGCTGAGGTTGTCGCAACGGTCACCGTTTTCACTTCGTACAGCATGCGGCATGTATTCTTGCTCAATTATAGATGCAATAGAAAAATTGGCACAGCAATTTACAAACAAGTCATAATACCAGACGTTATTAAAACTCCGAACAGATCTAAATGGTCTGTGTGCAATTCGGATCTGATGAAAATTGATAATCCAGATTGAATCGAATCCGATATCCGTTAGATGAATCCTACCTGTTCACATTAATAAGTACTTTAAATCAATTGTAAAATGGAATAGATATTAAAGTTAGGGTAATTTATAAAATTTTGACTAATGCAGGAGACTGGATATTACAAACGCTAAAACATAAAAGCTAATTAAATATTTTAACAAAAACAGAAATTCAGAAGTACCAAATATGGTTAAGAGATCTTATCTTACCTTTGTTATAATCTTAGACAGCAACATGGTCAAATAATAATATTTAGTCAAACTTATAAACTTCCAGATTGATATATATTATATTAGAGATATTGATGTTAGTCGATAAAAAAAAAAAAAAATCAAATATTTAAAATAAAAGCTAAAGTTCAGTATATTTATTAACAATATCTAGAAGAAAACGCAATGCTTTTAGCTACATATATACAACTTTTAAAGAGAATCCATACAAATTCCAAAAGAAATTATTATTAGATATGTATACTATCTTATCAGAGCATACAATCAAGCTGATAGACCCAATGCTACCTGGAAAAGATGAACTAGATCTCCATTCATATATGCGCATCCTGCAAGTCCTTTGGATGATGTGGATAAGAGAACCCGCGACCCCTACCCAGCAAAAAAAAAAAAAAAAAAAAAAAAAAAATCTGAAAGCAGAAGCACGTACATTCCCCGAGGAGGTTGAGCGGACGGAGATTTTTCCGCATCGCGACGACGTCGACGAGAGACCAGTGTTTCGAAAGACAAGGATGATACGTTTGAACTCACCACTGTGAATACGACGTATGTGTTCTTTATCGTTCCTCACATATATGCCCAGCTCTTAGTCTTGCAGGAGAAGCACCGTCGATCAATGACTTACGCAGCATAGGTAACGATGCCACGACGCGGTGTTGATGTCAATATATTCTGAAACCAGGTGTCGCCGATTAAAAATACGTCACGTCGATGTCCGAAGCATTAGAGAAGGAAGCCGAAATAAGTGTTTGGCCAGCCAAACGACCGAACGGCCATCCAGATTGGGCCACCGCGACAAAGAGTGGTAGCTGGACCAAGACGCGTACATTACCACGAGGAGAATCGTGATTAAACACGGCGGGTCGTCAATCTTAAAATGAACCCATTCTTCCAAAGGTACCAAAGTCCTTCCTCGTTTTTAAAATCTTCCGTACTTTGTCACTTTAGGATCAAGAGAAGTCATGCAGTGATTGAGGTGCCTCAAAAGGGCGGATGAACGCAGTTTATACGGTCTAGACAGATAATAAACAAGGGGAATAAAGAGGATACAATGGACGGATACAATTCGAATTAACTAGTACAGATAAACAAAGACCTGATTCAATCAGGACCCACCGCATATTCGCGCAGATACGCCATTACCACCAACGCCTAAGATGTACTAACTGTTCCTGCGTTACTGGGCGGACAGTTCTATGTAATATAAACTATAAACCCGCGGTCATTTTTGACGCGCCATACCACCGCATTACACACCTTCCTACTGTCCACCGCCCATTTAATTTGACCTATGGTACTGATCAAGCGTGCTCTTGAACGGATCCCCCGCGGTGTTGGGACCCCACGAGTACCCACGCGCATGCAGGATCTCCTCATCGTCCCAGCCTTCACGGCGGTGACGGTAGACCTTGCGCCACACGAAGCCGACGATGGCAAGGGCAGCGACACCTGCGACGACAGATGAGGCGGCAATGATGACGCCGCTGGATGAGCCTGAGGACTGGTCGGAATTCTCGTTCGGCTGAAGAGTGGGCGTGACGCTCGAGGAAATAAAACTCATGTAGGAGGGATTTGTGGACAGAAGCGAGTAGCTGTAGCTGTAGCTGTAGCTGGAGGCGGTGCTACTATGAACGGTGCTCACAGGGGTAGTCGACGAGGCGACAGGACTGCTCGGCGGCAGGGTCGATGACGGGGGGACGCTGCTCGAGGCGACGATGATTGGGGTGGAGGTGGGTGGCAAGGACGAGTTAACAACTTCGGCCGGGGAACTGGTAGGCGCAAGGGCAGCGGAGGTGGCCGGGGGTGGTGTGGGCGTTGGCGTCGGGGCCGGGGTCGGGGTCGGTGTGCCTTTATCCTGGGAGGTCGCGGGAGCGGGCGTAGGTGTCGGTGTGGCCTTATCGGGCGAAGAGGCGATGACACCTACGCCTGGGTCTGCCGATATAACAGGGGGAGCGCGACGGGCCAGACGGTGACGGTTGTTGTTGGGGGACGAGGCGCCGACGGAGGTGGCGAGGGCTACGAAAGCCAGTGCCAGGGTGAGGTGGAACTTCATGATAGTGTAGGTCGGTGGCGCCGAGAGAGAAAGGGTTGAATTGTTTGACCTGCTGCTCTTAGTTTATTGTTGTGAGAGGGTGGAGAGCAGGAGTTGGTCAGGGACAGATGAGATGAACAAAACGTTGGCTGAAGGAAAGAGAGCACGAGGAAGGGCGGAGCAAGCGGGTATGATATAGAGCTTGGTGATGATCTAGACATAGATAGTGTCTCTGACGAATTGGTTTGAACTTACTTTAATTCCGTGCCAAGTCCGGGAAAGGGGGAAGAAGTGGTTCGGTACAAGACGGTCCGCTCAGGCCCAACAAAAAGAAAAAGAAACGGGGGAGGGGGTTGGGGGTGGGTGGGTGGTGGAGCGGGGCTGGTAGTTGTAGGTATGACGAGCGGAATGAAATGTCCTATACGGATTGCCGTGTCACCTCGGGGCGATCGAGAAAGGAAGGTGCGAAATGCCGAAAGCAAATCATGTCATGTCAATTTGGACCAGAAGGGTGCCTTCCACGCGGACCCGTGTTGTGTTAGTGACATTTCTTAGCCGTATAACAGTAACACTATCAAGACTGTTCAGATCGCACCCGGACGGCCCCAACCCATTCCCTGCCGTAAGTAGCAGGTACTACTACTGGTAAGGATCCAACTCCTCGTGAACTGTAACCTATAGTGCCTCGACCTGGTGCCACACACTTGCCAATCTCGCCCTTCTTTCTTTTCGTCCGAGAA